TCTTAGCATAGGTGACAACACAAAGAGATCTCTTTGTGTCTATATTTATCAAATAAATAGCCTCGACTGTGCTCTGTGCTATTGCAAAGGACGCAGGAGGCGGTTAGAGCACTAAAGAAGTGTAGGGGGAGACGTAATTGAGTCTTTCCCTTTCCAGAGGAGCCGTAAGTTATGTGCCTTTGAACAGACACACAGACAAGAGAGTAGATTTTCATTGAGATCACAGATGGGAGTACAGGTTTAAATGTGATGCGTACTTTTGATCAAGGTCAAAGTTAATATGCGATGGGTGGGTTTTTTCGAAAAAGGCAAGGTATGGAATACCGTCTGTAATCTGTTTTGACGGAAAGAAAGAAAAGCGATCTAATATGAATAAGTGAACTGAAACAAGACGAAATGAAATGAAAATAAAACTTACGAAATGTGTAAGCCTGAAGGGAAAACGTGAGGTACCTGATAAAACTACTTGAACACAAAACCTTCTCTTTCCCACGAGCACATACTACAAACCATACATATCAACTATCGCCGCAGTCGAATAAATGTTGTAATATAGGTAATTTTGAATTCTGTTGTAAATGTTAGTTTTGATCTTAAAGCCATTCTATTTTGATTGTTCTGAGTACTCGTATCGAGATCAGAAACCAGTTTTCACTATAATTTGATGATTCATTTAACATCAATCACCGAAAAATTTATATCTTTCTTTTGCTACTCTAAACTACATGGCATCTTTTGTCCTTGTGGGATTTGATTCTTTTTAGGGCGTTCACACTTCCTCCGTAGCACTGGAAAAACGTGAGGTAGCCGTTTTCAAATTAAGCACTCCTGCTATAATCACCTTGCGCGAGGTCATTTTAGCGAGATATGACGCAATCCTCGACCAATCAGGGCGCGCACATCTCTATAATGGCCGTAGCAATTATACACTATAAATATGCGTTAGTGACGTAAACTTAACCAATACTGCGCGGGTAGGACAGGAAAAAAAAAACTAAATAGGATGTTTTTCACTATACTGAGTGAGATTTGAAATTTTCCCTTTCAAAGCCGTGATGCTTGAAATACTGTTTAAAGAGG